TTTTAATATGCATCTCAAAAATAATGAATTAAAAAACCATGATTCTTATCTCTATTTTAAGGAAAATAAACACTGTAAAATAGTTGAGGGATGTTTAGTTCTGATGGTGTTCAAAACAGTAATCCCTATCAGTTTAATAAAGTAAGACACAAGAGGAGATTCTTTAAGCACTTTAGACACTTTTTCTTTACTTATAAAGTACTTTGAAAAGATAATTCTTCTGATCAGCTCTACTTGACGGGGCAAGCATGCAGATATTGAATGAAAGTATTACTGTAGTTTGTGTTTTGAGTACGGAATGCTAGATCATAACAATGGATAGTGTTTTTCCAGTATGTTGTACATAATTTGTCTGCTTACTGTCTGTAAAATGTATTTTTGTATTATAAATAGTTTTGTTTTGTAAGTTTATGGGAAATCAGTTTTGCTGATTTGGTATTCAGAAAATTAGGAATTTTCATTCAGTAACTGAGTACCAAAATTTTGTAAACTAGCTTAGAAATTGAATAGTTGATTAAAGTTAAATGTCAAATTATATGCATTTATTGTCAAAACAGGTTAAAGCCTAAGCCACATGGACAATATTATGGATGAGAATTTAATTTAGTATTATTTAAATATTACAGCATTATGATAAATAAGACAGATGCTAGGAATTCAGTTTAATATCACAGACTTAAATAACTAAGGAAAGTAGAAACAGTCCTTTTTTTAGTGAACCGTTATCTCTATTCCCTGCCTTGCTTCTGGATATGCATAAGGAGAGCAGGTTTGAAGCAAATCATTGTTATTAATATTGACATTTGAATTATGCAAATTATAATTTGGTACAGTAGCATTTCTTCTATGGGTGGTTTCACACTTGTTGACCTTAACTTCTTATAGCCATTTGGGGCGTTTGACAGTAAACAGATTGAGCACACTGTAGATTACAGAAACAGATTGAGCACACTGTATTCAAGGTTTTGCCCTATAAGCTGACTTTTCTTTTTTCACCACTGATAAAACAGTTCTGCACGTGCCTTTTCAAACTAGGTCCATATCTCTGCTGTCGGTTATGGTTTTAGATGCTGAGATTAGAATGCATATTATTACTACTAAACAAGGATATTGTGGATTGATGGTTCTGCTTCCATTCGGTGCTTTAGTCTTAATCCTTGAGAAAGTATCCAGAAACAACCTCATCCCAACCACACTGGGTGCCTTAGAGCCCATTGAGTGTTTTTATTTGCTGTGTCTTTAACTCAATCACATCTTGGAGGGATTTTGTATTAATAAACATTGGAAAACCACTCTTATAGTCTCTCTTTTTTAAAAAAAAAAACACCTATTGTTGGCTACTGACATCAGTATCTTTAAGGATGAACTATTTTTCTGGCATAAAATTCTAGTCTGGTGTAGTGAAGAGGTTAGACTGGTACTTCAGAGATCCACATTTGTGTCCACTCAGCCATGGAAGCTCACTGGGCAACTTTAGGCCAGCCACACCTGCTCAGACAAAACTACCTGGTTGTTGAGGGGGTGGGAATGGTACGCATGCCTCTTGAGTGAAAGGCAGGCTATAAACATAACAAATTACATGAAAATAGTGCCCAAATTTCCTTTGTAGCTCTCTGAAGAGAGAAGCTTCATCAGATTCAAGTTTGTTTACCATTTAGTGATAGTGGGAAAAAGTTAACAATGTTCTAATGATATTGTTCACAGTGTTATACTGCTGTACCTTTTAGAGGAATTCATGTTAGTAGGGATGCTATAAAAAGTCAGTAGAAATTTCCAAAACTGGTGACTTTCAGTATGAGTAAATATGGTTCTCATTCATACTCTCCTCAAATTGAACAAGTTCAATCTGCTCAATTGGATTTTTCTAGCAAGCTCTTAATATGGCCGGCCATCTCTGGTGTTATACTGCCTTTGATTATAATCTAACTATGGACAAAACAGAAAATGGTCATGGATATAATGCACTGAGGAATTTAATTAAATGTATTGTTCACCTATCTTGTCACAGGATAACTCTGAGTGGCTCACAATATTAAAAAGATAAAATATATTACAAAAGTATAAATGTACAAAAATAAATACAAAATACAATAGCTAAAAAGATGGGGAGGGAGTGAATTGGGGGGGGGAGAAATTTAAACTATCATCTCCATCACGAAGCCCCTTGGAGCCCCAAGCCAACTGGTAGAATGTGGTCTTTAAACTCTTTAAGGAAGATATTGGTGCCGGCTTTCCTGGGGAGGGGGAGATATTCTGAAGGGCAGGTGCAATGGCAGAGAAGGCTCTTCTGCACCCACCCACCGGAATACCTGTCCGATGAAGCAGCCTGCTAGCATGAGTGAAGTGGGCAAATCCCAGTGGGATGAGGTACATTCTATTTTTATAATCACGCAATCCTTTTTTTAAAAAACAAAACAAAAGATGTTTATTTATACATTAACACGGGGGGGGGGAGCCAAATAACCTTTAAAATGACCTATAATACAATAGAGGCGACACACAGAAAATACAAGGATGAAACAGAAGTGGGAAGAGACATTATCCCCACCCAGGCGAAATGGTCCATGGCTGGGAAGGACATCAGGTATCCTGGCTCTTCATATGTTTTTGGTAGGATTCATGGAGGTGTTTTTTTCTAGGCTGCTTGGTTCTTCCACAGCTCGGCAGCCTCTGTGTTCAAAGGACTTTCCATGTTTGGCTCTCCCAGCAAGCTCTGGAGGGAGAGCAAAATGGTCCAGACATCATAGAGAGACGACCTGTGACTATTTTACATTGGTTCTGTCTTGTATTTTTCCACAAGAAGAAATCTTGCTGGAAAGCACGTATTCAGCTCAGCAGGAAAGCACTGACAGGAAGGAAGTTAAATAAAAGAATAACCCCAGACAAGAATGTGTATTCCAAGAAGATATGCCTGTCTATAGCAGTTACAAAATAGCAGCTATAGAGTATGTGGCTCTATAAACTGGTCTAAAAAGATTAACATTGTATCTCTTTACCTTTCTGTAAATTTCCTCTCTCTCACCCCCTCCCTTGAATTAGCACAATAAAAGAGGACAGCAAAAAGCCAGGGGGAAGAAGGAGCAAGAAAGCCAGAAGCCCGAACATTTCCATCTGTTCCAGGGCAGCCAGGGAATCCCATCTCCCCCAGGCTCAAAGTGTTGCCTCATTTTAAGATCTCTTGTGTTTTGTGTGTTTTATTTCTTGTGCTTGCTTGGCAATCACTCTTGTGAGAGTCTTGCCTAGCCTCACCCTTGCGAGGGTCCCACTCTATCTCGCCCTTGCGAGGGCTATTTTCTCACCTTTGCGAGGGTTACTTTAAACTTCGTCCTTGCGAGGACTAATTCACCCTTGTGAGGGTCCCACTGTCTCGCCCTTGCGAGGGCTACTTTAAATCTCACCCTGGCGAGGGTTATTCTCTGAGAGGAATTCAGCAATCAACCAGAAAGGCGAAACAACAGACCGGTCGCTCAATGCGACACCGACCACTTGTCCTTCAGGGTGTCCAAGCAAATGTTGCCCTGCAAGTCCACGTTGGGGTGGTAGCAGGGGGTGAGGAACTTGATGGTGGGAGCATTGTAGGGGTACTTGCTGGGGAATTCCAAGGAGAGCTTGTACCTCAGGCCCTCGTAGACCATCCCAGCCACGCCGTAGATGAGATTGTCCAATTCTGGGAAGGCAGAGATGCCATGGTCTCCGGACATCATCAGCTCCTTCTGCAGCCTGCTGCGCACGGAGCCCCAGGTAGTTCCTCCGCCGGGTTCAGCTGCCTTGCTGGGGGCGCAGTGCCAGTGCCAGGGTTGTTGTTCTGCGAGGCCATGGCGGGAGCAGGGAGCAGCTCTTGGCCCAGCTGGTGCAGCGCTGCTGTTTCCTCCTCCATAGTTGGGCAATTCTAATCATCGTACAACTACCGGTAGTCCTACACTTACGAGCACAATTGAGCCCAAAATTTCTGTTGCTAAGTGAGACATTTGTTGTGAATTTTACCCCATTTTATGACCTTTCTTGCCAAAGTTAAGTGAATCACTGCAGTTGCTAGGTTAATGATAGTTAAGTGAATCTGGCTTAGCTATTGACTTTATGTGTAACTCATATGTATGAACCAGTTGCCAAGCATCTGAATTTTGATCACATGACCATGGGGATATTGAAATGGCGGTCACTTTTTTCTGTGTCATTGTAACTTCAAATGGTCACTAAATGGAACTGTTGTAAGCCAAGGACTCCTTATACTATAAACCAGTATCAGTTTCTTGAAGATATTCCAGTTGATAAATCTCTCTTAAATTAAAAAAAAAGTTCTAGATATGTTAAAAGATAGTTTATACAGTACTATAAAATTTCCACTGCTTCGAGGAAATTAATGAAATTCACTTGACTGCAGTATCGCCCTGTCATTTTTTTTAAAAAAAATCCTACTTGAAGATCAACATTCTTCAAAAAAATAATAATCTGCAAATCGCTTTTTCCTAACAGCCATGCGATAGTCCTGGAATTTTTTTTCCATTGCCGTCTTTTCGCCTAGCGCCAGTCTTCGTGGGCTTAACCCATCGTTTTCCTTTGCCCAACTGCACTGAAGTCTCCACCAGGGCGCCGCCACCCGTGAAGCTGCAAAATGAAAAAAACAACCGTCCAGCGCCAGTTGCAACGCGGGGACGTTGCGTATTAAATTAAGCCTTAAATTAAAAACTTATTTTTAAAGGGGGAGGGGAAGAGTGGCAAGAGAGCCTCTGTTTCAGAGTGAGGCTGTTCTCTGCCTCCCCCCCACCCTCCGCTGCTAACCGAGCCGTCCACTACAAAACACCACAACCACACCGAAACCCCCTCACACCCCTCTTCCTGTCTTCGCGCAACTCGCCCGGCATCACTGCAAGGCGCAGCTGACGTAAAGCGCGGCGGCCTTGCCTTTCGGTGGCTAAGTGCCGCAAAAGTGCCCGTCCTTTGCGTCTTACGGTCTTCCCCAACTTCGCCTCCCGCTTTGCAGGTAAGGGCATCAACGTCGTATTATTAGCCTTCATTTTATTCCGCACGCAGCCTTGAACGGATAAGCCCAAAAGAGAGACGGGGAAATAAACGTTTTAAGGCGCTCGCGTTAGCAGCTTTTTCCGTCCCCGAAAGCTTCCCAGTCTCAACCTGAGCAAGAAGAAACTGGTAGCCCTCCAGCTACTGGTGCAACATGGCCAATGGTGAGGGATGCTGGGAATTGTAGTTCATGGGCATCTGGAGAAGACTCAGGTTTCCTCACGCGTGTTTAATTTTTCAGGATTGGAAGAGAGGTAGGGAAGTACATCATAAATGTTGTATTAGGGTTTTACTTCATTTAGAAAGGGCAGATAACACATTTCACCTAAAAAGACTGCGGTCTCATTGAGGCCTACCGATATCAAGCTTCCTCAGTTCTTATTTAGTTTTGCCTACAACCATATTTGGAAGAGAATCAGTCATTCCATGGGCATACGGTTGAATCACGAATCAACCACTAGTGACTGGCTTATGCTCATTGTTTGTATAAAGTTGTCCTTTCAAGCACTAGCAGGAATCTTCCAGAAAATTATGAATATGCAAATAAGTAGTAGTCACATTTGCACATTCGTATCCAGAATCTGCACAAGTATTTTGCCTCTGTTAGTTGATGTGAAGAAGAAGAAGAAAAAACTAAATTTAGTCTATTTTGTGAGGTTTGAATTTTCCTTCAAAGAAACTAAAACTTTGATACGTGAGGGGAAATGGAATATTACAAACAACATTGGGTAATAAGCAGTAAATTAAGGAAGTTTTAAGAAAACAGCTAACACTCTTCTATTGAAAAACTGTTGGGGTATGTCTAACTCAGACTGAAACTCACCTCTTTCAGGAATGCTTCTCCACTTTCAACTTCATTCAGGAGTTAGTGTAACGATCAAAGGCACTTCTCAAATTGCACAAGCCTGCTTCCTATTATGTGTGTGACTGAGTACCTGGACACAAGGAGTTTGGAAAATGGAATCTGCCTTTGCAATGTGTTCCATTTGTTAGTTGATTCTATTTTTTTCTTTTTGCCTCGATGCACCTGGAACCCATTTAGTTCCTGTAATCTGCTTCTGGTTAGAATGCTTCAGATCCTGATAGTAGATCTCTGCTATCTTGGGAGAAATGTTAAGCTGTCCATTCAGGTGTCTCAGTAACCATTTGTTTTACTACTTCATTTTACAAGTTTCTAATCTGGAATTATATTGCCATCCATCTCATAATTTTCACTCTGGGTGAAAGAAGAACAATAAAAATAATACTAATAAACAAAAATGACACAATAATAATGCCATGGCACCAAAGATAATCAAACTCAAACCACACAATCACAGTCATATCACGAAAAACCACAATGACATACTGAATTATTGTATCTGCAATTTGCCTGAGTGTTCCAGGAATATTGCAAAGACAAGGCCTATCTCCTTTAGGATTCGAGATTGATATTGAAATTGGTACCAGCAAATTAAATGCTCCCTCTACAAGGACCCAAAGTTCATTCTTGTTGAGAATCTGCTTTTACATGCTCGCAGAAATGATTTGAGATAATGTTCTTCTCCCAAAATGAGTAGGTGAACGTAGGTAAAAGGTTAGCAAGAAGGTATCTTACTTATGGGATGTCCTTCTCAGAGAAGTTTGCCTGGTGACACCTTCAAGGCATTGTTGCTGCAGACATGAACTTGTTCACAGCAATATCCAAAATAAAACTACACCAAATCATCTGTGAATCAATAAAATAACTTTTTAATTTTGAATGATGAGTTTTTAATTGCATCTTAGAACTTAGGTGGTAGGATAATTATTTAAATAGAAGAACAACAGCTTTGCTTTTGAAAAAGCTATTATAACTTCTTAACTGAATTCAATTTTTTTATGTTTTCCCAGTTTTGAAACTCACAACAGGCCATCTAAAAAGATGAGAAGCACCAACTGTTGCTTTCTAATGAATACCAGGAGGGTTCAAATGACCGATGCAGAGAATTAACAAAAACGTAGTACTGGGCCTTCTTACTTTGACCAGTTCAATCTTTCTCCTGTTCCAGTTGTATTATTATAAATATTATCTCTCTCCAAAGGTAACGTTTCATGATTCTTATTACTTACACACAAACCCAGATTTACAGATCTAAACAAGTGCTTCTAGTGTTTTAAAATATGCTAGCAAGAACAAAATAAACAAGCAACCCACAAGATCATTTACAGAAGACAGAGATACCAAATGTTATTCTGAAGTATACTTACTTGGTAGTAAAAAGCAATGAAGCTCTTTTTTGTTATAATTTTGTGGTACGGTTGAGACTGGAGGTGTAGAGCTTTATTTCTCTTGTTTGGTTTTGTTAGAATGGAGCGGTTTTCCCCAAGATTAAAGGGAGCAAAGCAGGACAAGACAATAGTCAATGGGTAAATACATCTGATTTTACTATTTCTCATAAACAACATGCTTGAGGTGGAAGTGGCAACTCAGTGAAAAGGAGGGAGGCAACGGTGTGAGGCAAATAAGTTCAAAATAATAATTACCAAAGAATATTAAATACATAGGGGAATATTTGCATAACTTGTGTTAAATTACTATACTTTTATTTTAACAATAGCAGCTCATTTATGAAGAATTAATGCCTACCACTTGCACTTCTTCAAGGGTTATGCCTAGCACCTTGAAGGAGATTGAATGCAGGTTTCTACCCTGAAAAGGCCCACAGCCTTGGTTTTGGCCCCCAAATTTATCCTAAACTTTTACGCTTCTTTTTAAAAAAAACACTTTAGTTTGATTTTTTGACAAATATTCTACAATAGCCGTTGTTACATTAACTATAGTTATTTATACAAAATCCCTTGATGCTCATGATCAAAATCATGATTTTAGAATGATTGCTATAGTTATTACAATAGTCCTCAATTTATAACAAGTTGTTTTGTGACTGAAGTTACAACTGACTGGAAAAAGGGGGCTTACAACCTAGATTTGAAGTTGCAATGATTGAGCCCCCTCTGTGCCATATAACCAGATTTCAAGCACTCGGGAACATGGCTGCATGTAAGACCATTTGCAGCAACTGGCAGTCACATCACTGCATTTTTATGACAGTTTTGTCAAAACCTGGCACTTTGGTTTTTGGCAAAACAGTGCCCATAGTGAACCATTGGTTTGCTTAACGGCCGTGTTGTTTGCTTAATGACCTCTGTTTGCTTAACAACCATTGAAAAAAAATTCTAAAATCTGATTTGTCACATGACTGATCCTTTTTACAACCATTGTAATACGCAACCATAATGGGCAGGCTCCATTATTTTTGCATGTTGAGGACTATATCTGTATTATTATTTTGGTACAGATTTTCGGCAAACATTTACTCCTGATGTTTTTTTTTTTCCCCTCTCCTCCCTTTTTTAAAAAAAAATTTAAACAGCATGTGGTGAGAAAATTTCTGAATTTGGTGACCAGCCACAACATAGTTGTGCATCTGATCGATCCTCTCCTTTTGGAACTGATTGACCGAGACTTGGAGCAGCTTCAGACCTTCTCTGATGGCAGTCGCTCAGAATGCAAGTACTTCTGTACCCCACGGGATTATACCACCTTTGGACTACTGGACAAAACCTGGAAACTTGAAGTAAATGTCTTTTTCCAGCTTCTTCTAACTCTGCTGAAGTTTGCAGTCATTAAATAGGATGCAGTATAGAGATATAGAGGATAAAGGTGCCTGTTTGGGGTTTTTCTTGGCCCACATTTGTATACTCCCTACTATTTTTTTACTCTAAGCCACTTACAAAAACGAAATCCTAGATTAAAAACAGGATAACAAGACTCACTAATCAATAAAACGATTACATAAAATGATTTACACGCATAAAAAGGTCCCATTCCTTCTTTCTTAAGATCTTCCACCTGAATGCCTTTTGAAAAAGGACAGTTTGACATTCTTCTAAAGGACATCGGGGTAGGGGTAGGGGATATCTGATTGCCAGGGTGATGCTATTCCCAGAGGGAGGGGCTCCCCTGATAATGTCATTGTCTGATTTCCCCCCTCCCCCCAATCCCCAATCACTCCACACTATATGAAATAGTTTCGGTAGAGTCCGTCTGCAGGAGTTGTCCTAATGCTAGCAAAGGTCCAAGCTGAATAGGGTTTATAGGTAATCACCAGCATCTTGTATTGGGACCAGAAATTTATTGACAGCCAATAGCAGCTCTGGTAAGGCAAATCTTTTTTTTTCCTGAAACAATTAATGCCAATCGGCAAGTAAGCAGCCACCTTTTCCACTAGCATGTAAGATTCCAATTCCAGGTTCTCTTTAAGGTGAGCCACATGAAGAGTGTGGAACTGGAGTTGGAGCATGGAGTGAATTGGAGTCGGAGAGATGGTGACGTTGTAATCGCTCCTTTCAACATCTTTTGATTCAGAGACATTCCTGGCAGGCTCACCAAAGCTAGCTGTAGACCGTAGACTCTGCTGTGGCTTCTAACTGCTGTTCTAGCAGATGCCTCTAACTCAGGGGTGTCAAACTCAAGACCTGGGGGCTGGATCTGGCCTGTGGGGTGCTTAGATCTGGCCCGCAGGGCCGCCCTGGGAAAAGCAAAGAACTGGCCCCAGCCCTGAGGTCAAACACAACCCTGATGCGGCCCTCTATGAAATTGAGTTTGACAGCCCTGCTCTTAACTCTAAGAAACATATTAGATTGCATACAGGTAGTCCTTGACTTGTTTAAAGACCAGTCAAAGTTACAACGATTGGGAACTGACTCACATTTATGACCGTTGCAGAGTCCCGGGGTCATGTAATCACCTTCTGCAATCTTCCGATGAGCAAACTCAGTGGGGAAGCCAGATTCACTTAACAACTGTGTTACTAACTTAACAACTGCAGTGGTTCACTTAACAACTGTGGCAAGAAAGGTCTTAAAATGGGGCAAGACTCACCTAGCCACTGTCTCGCTTAGCAACAGAAATGTTGGGCTCAATTGTGGTTGTAAGTCCGGGACTAGCTGTACCAGCTCTTTCGAGAGAAACACAGCTCTATCAAAAGAAGTAATCAGAATATCAATACTTTGCCCCATTCAGTTCTTCACAGTTTTAAGCACTGCATTTCCTATATGGTGGAGGTGGAAAGGTAAGACCTAAACCACTGGATGATCTCTCTTGTTGGTTTCATGTAAACGTTAAACAAAATGGAAAGCCCGCTGAAGTGTTCCAGGGTTTCACCTCTCCTTCCACAATACCAATTTGAATTGTTATTTAAAAACCAGGCAGTCCAAAAGAATATTGTGATTAAACAAAGCTGAATGCCACTGAGAAATCTGCACAAGGATGACCAATGTGGCCTCCATCCCATGCCCTGTTCTGGGCATGAAATTAATTATCTGTGGTGATGTATTTCCTGAGAAACCTTTGGAAAGTAAGTCATACAGTAATCCAAGATATGCTGCTGAAGTAGCAGCAAAATTCTTGGAGAAGGACTTGATGTTAACATTTAGAGATGACACATCTTTTGCTTGGACATTATAGAGGTTCATTTCTGCCAGAGTGGCTTGTTGACTATCTTGAGAGGTTTGATTGAACTGGAAAAAAAAAGTAGTTTGCTCAAGAACAGCTTCTCGGAAAGGGGTGGTGAAATTGCCATGAGATGGTTCTCTTCTGCCATGATTTGCTTTCATTTCAATCCAGAAGGAACTGTGTGGTGAAACACGGCTTGATGAAGGAACGGAAACTTTTATGTTGGTTTCAGGTGGGCTTGTTTCAGGCTGCGGAGAGAATGGGATTCCAGTGGCTGAAAATTCAGAGTAAAGATCCACGTTTAGAAGGCATGGAGGATCTGTCTGGAACAGAAGTCCCCCTGCATTACATCTTCAAGCAGGCAACTCATGCCATCCATCTAGTCGTCTTCTATGAGAGGAGCGGCAACTACCTCTGGCATGGGCCGCTACGTCTGAAGCTACACATGGACAGGGCATTTGTGCCTTTCCAGAAGCTACACTTTGGACGCTACGCTGGAGCCTATGACAAGTAAGAAACAGTAGGGCAGTATTTTTTGTTGTTGTTGTTGTATGGGAGGATAAGGCTCCTCTTGCAAAACACCGCTGTTGTACAGTACTTGCTTCCAAAAGGCTGAGATTAAGTCAGACATCTTGGAATATAAAAGTGATGAAAATTGTGCCAGGAAAGTGAACTTGTACTTTTGATTAATGCCGGTAATGAGGCCATTGGGTTCCTCCTCCTTCTCTCTTCCTTATGTGATGGCAGAGATGAGAATTCCCTGACAACATTATTTGACAGCAAGTTCAGAGCAGACAAAAGAACTGCACCCTCAAAGAAATCCCATGAAAAATGGCTTTAAACTATGGTAACCTCTGAACAAAAAAGGCCCACCTTTGAATATGGAGGACGTGAATCAAACAAGAAAAATGACACTATACCACTCCACAATACATCCTAGATGGAAAAAGAAATGCACAATTCCCCAGTGATGAGATATGTGCTCTTGTAAGTGAAGTAGGGCATCTCTCTTCTTTTACTTTGGATGAGCTGCTTCTAAATTGTGAAAGTATCTGATTCACTTAATTAAGGCAATTATATTGAGTTACCTGATTAACAGCATTGCGATCATGGAACACATTCAAAGTTCAATTGCCGTGGGCTAGCATTGTTGTCGTGCATTCATATTAAATGTGTCCTTTGTCAGAAGGTTCAGCTGATGAGCTGGAAAGCTGCTTATTTTATATTCCTTCCAGTTACATGTGATGCCTTCTCATCTTACCAGACCCATTCAAGGCAACCTTCAAATAAATTGTTAAAGCACCATAGCTGTGTTCCCTACCCTCCTTCCCTACTGTGGAGGGAGAGTAGGGATTATCCTTTTCATGCCACCACTAAAACCTTTTTAGAGTACAGAAATTCTTTTCAGTCTCAAACAGAGAGAATACAGGAAAGATAAAGGATAGTACAGATAGACAGTTAATTTAGGAATAAGGAATACACTGATTTTTATTAAATCCCCCAAAATGGGTTTTAAAACAAATTGACTTATTTCTAAAAATTATTTATATTCTGTGCATAGCAGTCTCTAAAATTATTCCCAGGCTTGTGTCAGTGACACCAAGAGACATTCCCAAACTTAGACTCCAAGCGACCCTCAAATCTGTCCTTCTGCCTTCATCCCACAAATTTCTCTGTTCTGTGCTCTTCCTGTTGGAGTAGAACCCAGGAGGTGGTACCCAATGTTGCTTTCCATTGATTGGCAGCTCTGACACCCAATCGTTTTGGCTCGATGTTAGGTGTATATCAAGTGAATTGGATGGATTGAGAATAGCAGATTAAGATGGACAAAACATGATGGTGAAACATGCAAGTTGTGATTGTGTGTCAGAAGGAACAACAAGGGTGCATTTGTTAGCTTTCCATCTTAATGCAAATTCAAAAGGAAATATCTAGTTCCTGTTGCATTCTCCTGGTCAGGATAATGTCATTTTCCGCTTCTTGTAACAGGATGGCATTACTGACTCTTTCCATTGATGGATTAATAGTCCAGGTTCCAAAAGAGCCGTCCAAGTTCCTCGAAGAAAGGTCCCACTCTCGATTTGTTGAATGTCGATACAAAGAAGCTCGATCATTCTTCCAGGTTAGGATCATTTTTTGTTTGAATTAATTGGTTTGATAAAAAGGACATTATATCCCTGTCAACACTGCCTCCAAAATGTGCAATATTTTTACTATGGTCAGCTTTCTCCTCCACATCCCAGCACTGAAATAACAATGTTTGCTAATTCTTGTCAAATGTTCCAAATGGAGATGTTATTTAAATTAAAAGGCGTACGTGGATACATCTTTCACTTGTAGCAAATCAATGGTACTAAGTAGACTTAATCAACTTATAATTGCCAGCTATACCTTTGTAAACCTACTCATGTTGCACTTAGCTTTTCACTGCAAAGTGGCAGAAATCTTGGTCTCGTGACTGTTTGGAACCCAGAGAAGCATAATTTTTACAATTAATCTCTGGTTTAGCTTTGCCTGCTTCCCAGGACTCAGTGAGAGTCACCCAGCTGGTTTTGTGTTTGTGGTGGTACTAGCTTATAATCTCCTGGGTTCTCGCTTGATGCCTTAATCACTACATCAACTGGCTCTCTTACTACGTAGCCTAGGATCTAGTGAATTACTTGTAATTTGTTTCATCTCTTTCAAAAAGCCATTTTTTCCCAGGTTTAGAAAGCCAAACCCACAGTTAAAGGGTGCCCTGAGACACATGCATGGTTTTTTTTGAGTATTGGCCATCGTTTTGTTGAAATCCTAATCGAATTAATCTTTTCCCTCTTTAGGCAACCAGTACTTCAGTTTTTCAGCCCAACAGCCAGCCACATTTCCATGCTTAATCCTATTTAGTGACTAACTGCTAAGATTTGCTCTGTGGCTTTGACACTTGATGGCGCCAAAGAATGAATATAGAAGGCCCAGCGATGAAAGAGTCTGCTTCTTTCATTGCAAGAAACACTTTCCTACCATTTGAGCCCAGCAGGAAGATAGAAAAGAAGAGTTGTGTTAAAAAAAGAGAGATTTTCTGTGGGTTAAACATTGTGCTGTGCTTTACTAAGATATGAGTAACAGTTTGTAGCTATCTTATTACAAGTGCAGAAGGGAATTGCAAAGTGCATTATTTGGTGAAGATGAAAATTGGATTGCAATGGCGATTTTTTGATGGACTTTTAAGATCCAAAGCTAATCTTTCTTTCTGTCTAAATGTCTGTCTGTCTATAGACACCACCCATGTCAGTGTCCAAATGACTTTTTTTCAAACTTGCCAATGCTTTTCAGCACAAGCAGAGAATTGATTTCCTTCCAGAGATGTCATATTGTATCAGATTTTGTTACACAAGACTCCATAAGTTTGAGTTTTAAATCATTTGTCAACTTCCCCCTGTGATTATCATCACCCATTTGAATTGGGCCTGTATCTGATCCTGGGGCTCCTTTCTTCCTCTTTCCAAGAGAAAAAATAATAAGGACCTTCATTTAAATACAAATTCATTGCAGGTAGTCCTCACTTACCAATCACTCAGCAACCGTTTGAAGTTACAGCGATGCTGAACAAATAATTCTATAACCACACGACCACATTTAGTAGTGTCCCTCAGTCATGTGATTTCCATTATAGTCATGCATTTTTCTCTGCCTGACTGGTGATTTTTTCTTTTCCTGTTACAAAATTGCAAATTGGAGAGATTGAAAAGGAAGGGATTTCAAGAGAGTAAGCAGTTTAGGTAGCTCCAGCCCTGAGTTGTGATATAATCTCATTGTTTTTGATGTGTATAAGACATTAAGCAGGCACTGCTTCCTAAGGAGCAGTTATCGGGCAAACAAAAGGGAAAGGGGTGAAATGACAAGTTGTGTCTTTTTCCAGCTTGAAGCTGCTTTGGAACTCAAGTGGTTTCCCATTTAGCAGCCACTTTACTTGTAACAGTTACTTATTTCTCCTGGGGGGATTCTAAATATTGGTAAGGAAAAATAAAAAAATGATCATGGAAGCTAAGGTACAGATTAGACAAGTGCCTTTTCCTTTTCCTTTCTTTTCTAGCTGTACCCTGATGATACATCTCCTGAGGCAATGGAGTTCAGGAAAAAAGCCAAGGCATTGCTGCATCTTTCTGCTCTGACACTGAACAATTTAGGAGTACAATTCTGGCTGAGTAGCGGGACCTGCCTAGGTAAGTCACTTGCATTGGGGTTGGAAGCCAGAAGTGTTCTCTGCGATGCTGGCAGTTGAGCCTGAGGGACAAGGTGATCAAACGGGTGTACATGGCAGAAATACACCGGGGTGTGAAGACCACACTGATCGAACGCATGGAAGCACAAAATGCACGCGAATGAAAATTAGCTTGTCTTAGACTATGACCCCAGAAACGTGTGTGCAAGAGAGTCCTTCCTCAGTCTTCTACCCCACTGATACTTGGGCAGGGAGATTTTATAAATATTATTCTTGGCGTCAAGATCCAACTGTTATTGCAATGAGTTAAGCATTGCGTGAATGCAGTTTTCTTTACCTCACGCTCTTTAAATGAATTAAAGAGCCATGTTGATTAGAAGTACTGGTAGTTATAATCCAGCACGCTTGGTCCACGTCTGGTTGGTTCATTTGATTACACTCTTACATAAGTAGGAGTGTTCATTATTACATTCCCAAAGGCAAAATTGTGCTTTGGAGCAGTGTGGGGATGCATGCCATATCTGCCTGCATTTCCTTAAAGAAGCGACATATTTCCTTGCTCACATGGAAGCTGGGTAATTCCTGGAAATCATGTTTTTAAGTTAAGGAGATTCAAGAGGAGATCCACGGTGTTCTGGGACAAATCTGGCTATGGTACAAATGCCTCTTTAATTCAAACATATTTTTTGTGGGATCAGGGAGCTTTTATCTGAACCCAATACACGAAGAGTTTGGTATATGCATATGTATCTTCACCATCAGGTATGATGTATTGGCAGAGTTTTGATTTCCAATCTCTTTTAAAATATTTGCTTCAGAAGATAAATGAGTAAATTTTGTTACAGATACCAGTATATTATCACAGACTAGATGATGTGACTTACATACCTATTTAAACGTACAATTAAAACTTCTGAATTCACTGGCATTCTCAGTCTCATCTCGCAGCCCTTATAATTTATGGATCATATTGCTCTGCATATAAAATAAACCAGGGGATACATCCTTTGTCTTAATTTGATTTGGTATATAGTGCCTAATTCTTGGGGGTGACCTTGAAAAAAGTGGAAACTTCTCAGTGAAATGGTGGAGATAGCAGAAGGTCATTTAAATATTTGTAAGAAAAATATACATCAAAATAGTTTGTAAGTCATAGATTAAACTCCATAGTTTTCTGCAGCTCTGCTCAAAAATTCAGTGAAACCTTCTCCCAGGTAAAATATATGCAGGAGCAAGAGATGGACTTTCCAAAATGTTACTAATACTAAAATATGAGCAAAAATAGGTTTACATAATTAATTAACCAAGTTTAAAACACTTTAAAACAGGTTTAAAATTTTTCTTTTAAAAATTAGAAAGAAGCACTGGGAAGGATTTACCAGTTTTGTAGATGGAAGTATGAAAATAATGTTTTTAAAAAAGCATTAATGTGGGATTAATCTAAACTAAATGAAATAGTTCACAAATGCCAATTGCATCCTGATCTGCAGAAAAGTAAGATGCAAGGAGGCCCCTGTTACTCTCTGTGTACCTTTTTAAAAACATAAGAGAATACTGAAAAATTGTATTAACTAATATTTCCTGGGGCGGGGATGTCATTCAGTTGAGGTAATTCACACAGCTATTGCTTGATTATGGAATTCAAAACTGCAGTGTCTTATAAACACAATGCTGTCCAAGATGTTCTAGAATACTAAAAATATGAGGAAATAATTAATTACAAGATTATTATGATTTTACCATCATGTGGGATTGGGAAGTTACATGGCCAGTTGAGATGCTTTTGCTGGGTTTAGTCTTTGACACCACGAAGTTGTTTTGTCTGGGTTTAATCTTGGGCACCACTGTAGATTTTTATTCTTTCTTAATATTATTTTTCTATTATATTTACATGTTAGCCACCCAGAGTTGTGTTTGCAAATAAAGTTACTTGCAAAAATTAGGTCCTTGTGTTTGGAACATTTCTGTCATGAAAGGAGAGGTTGCATCTAGTTTATCAGAAATGGTTCTAGCTGGATTTTTCAAACTGTGTGGGAACTTACAGATTTTACAGATTTTAGATATAATTTCTCTCATTAATTATAAAGAAACTAATCTCTCCAAATATGTTAACCACATGACTTCTGTCTTAGAAGAAAGAAACCAGCCATTTTCATTTGTAAAAATGGGAATTAACTCTTAAATTTAAGTATTTCCCAAGCAGCCTTGAGGGATAATCAGATTGGGCAAGTAAAATTGTCCTTCTGTTGCCTTCATAGGTAACAGGAGGATGAAATCTTCTCAACCATATAAATGCAGCAGATTGTTAGAGGAGAAATTGAATTCGCCCTCTTTCCTTAGAATGGAAAACTTTGGGGTATACTTTTTATGCCTTAATTGAATTACTCTGTCCTCTTTTCTCATCAACGTTGGAGCTGCATGATTGTGTATTAAATTTCTCATGAATCTCTTGTATATTTAGGTTGGTACAGACAGTGCAACATTATTCCTTACAGTAAAGACCTGGACTTGGGGGTTTTTATTCAAAACTACAAACCAGATATTATTCCAGCATTTCAGAAGGCTGGGTTACCGCTAAAGCACAAATTTGGCAAGGTTGGTGAATACAGGAATACGTTTGACTCATACTTTTCTTTCTTGCCAGTCCTTTTTTCAAGTTGTCTGAGATATTAAATGAATAATTAGGTTATAAAAGCACTGCATTTTTGAAACTTGGCAACTTTAAGATGTGGGTGCTTTAACTCCCAGAGTTCCCCAGCCGGCATGCTGACTAGGTTATTCTGGGAGTTGAAGTTCATTACATCTTAAAATTGCCTAGTTTGAAAAAAAAACACCATTATGCTAGAAGACTGCATTGGGATCATGGGGAGTGGGAGACCTGGTTTTGGATCCTTTCTCATCTCTGAAGCTTACTGATCAGTTAGGAGCAATCAGGATCTTGATTTGACCTACATCACTGGATTATTATGAGGATAAATGAAACAAAACAGAAAGCTGTGCAAGGATTGTGTGCTGCAATTCAACATAAAAGTAGCTACAACTTCCAAAATCAAAACACACTCCCGGTCAGATAGAGGCCCTGCATTAGTTTTCTTGCAAATTATTCTTTTTTTCTCCAGCTGTTATTCTCCCAGAAGCAATGTTTTCTCCAAACATAGAGATTTGTTCTTTTTTTCTTTCCCTGGTGGGGCAAATGGTGCAACCCTCAGCACTTTGTAAATATTGAATTGTGTTATCATGCAGAGATAGTCTAGAGCTAACTGGCACATCTTTCTCTTCTGTTATCATAATTATTGTACTTCTTGACTTTTCAGCTCTGTTAGTTTTATTAGCATTTATGAGCAGTGAGAAATTTAAGACTTTCTGCTCTTCAACTTCTAGTTCAGCTTATTTAGAAAAGAAATTTTTTAAAAAACTGCTGAAGACTTGTTGCATTTCTGTGTTGCTGTTATATTTATTAATAGGCTGGGCATAAAATTAATAATCTTGCCACTCTTAAATGATTCCCCTTCCTGACCAAATTTATTGGGGAGTTGAAAACGTCATATCTGTTTCCTTCAACTGCTTTTTTATTAATTCTTAAGATGTTTTTAATCTTCAAAATACTGCTAGGAAATATTCAAATTTGAGAGTTCAGAATGACAGGGTTGGAAGGGTATCAAGCAATAATTTTGATGCTTAGCCATTTTATTATCTGTGTCTTGAGTTCATTTCCCCTCCTTTCTATATAGTTTGAAGATAGTTTGGAGCTGTCCTTCCAGGGAGGAGAAGATGAAGTGAAGCTTGATATTTTTTTCTTCTATGAAGAGGATGACCACATGTGGAATGGAGGAACCCAGGCCAAATCGGGCAAGAAATTTAAGTATGACTCAGAGTTGGTGTTTGTAGAGGGGAAATCTTACTAAGGAACTATCTGTTTTCATAGCTTACTACCCAACAAATAATTGCTTCTACTGTATTGGGTTTTAAGGTTTTTGGAGAACATTGGCCTGGTTATTTAAAAAAAAAATAGGACATTGGCTCACATTTATCAGCCCCAGATATTTTGCTACTTCACATTGTCTCCTTCTGCAGGTACTTTGCAGAACCTGCTACAACATGTTAGACTTCCATTTCTGAATACAATTCAAATACTGGCAAGAAGCTAAATAACTGCAAGATTCCAGCTGGCTTTGCATCTGGAAATTTTAAGTTATTGTCTCCCACATTAGCTTTTTGGAATCCTCAAAGGCCCCACTAACCCACTTTTTGGAATCAAGGAATGGTGAATAGCAATGAGTGCTTCTTAGAAATTATTCCCCTTTGCTTCTACTTAGGAACATTCATCTGCTTCTGAACAGTTTTTTTTTTTAAGCTTAAGATTTTTCTGTATTTGAACATTTCAGATTATCATCAGTCTTATCTAGGACTACTGTTCTTGTTTAACTATCAGCTGTGTTTATTGCTTAGTTGTTTGTCTTTTGTTGTGTCAGTAGATGTTGCTGGATCAATTTACTGTATTAGAATAGGGAATATTTTTTGAATGATTGTAATCCACTCTGTGAGTAACTAACCTGGAAAGGGAAATAAGTTATCTGAATAAATTTAGTTGAGGAAATGGGAAAAAGAAAGGCCAGTCATTTAACCAGAAAGTTGTTGGTACTAAGCTTGATTTTATTCTACAGTATAGAGATGACATTACTGAGAAAATGGATGTTCTTTGGATCAATACAAAAGTTTTTACAAAGAATGGGTGGAATTTCTGGGGCACCATGTTAGTTCCTCTTCCTTTGGCCAAAGATGTGATTGATTGAATCTTGTTTCAAGTTTGATCATTAGTGAAGAATTTTGTTTCTGTGTGCTTAATCAATTCAGTCTGCAAAGCAGATACTTGTAAAAATGTTAGTATAAAAAAAATTGTAAAAATGTTAGTATAAAAACACTTTCAGAAGCAGGTTAAAGAAATGGGTGTCCTGAAATTCAAATGTTTATGTTTATTAACAACATAAATGTCTCTAATTCTCATGATTATGCACTTCAGAATGCCTGCTTAAAGGTTAAAAAGGAGAATTTATTTCCTTGGGACTTGGAGAGTTTGTAGATTGCATTTTGGTGCTGTAAATAGCTCTGATCTGTCGTTATAACTCAGCAGAATTAGAATAAATTGTTCAACAACTTTCCATAATAATTTAATATAATAATATATTACCTACAGAAACTAAGTTTGCATACTGCTTATGCAGTCTGCACATAATAATCTAAGAACATAACCTACTTCTCATTGGTAGTATTTTACCTATACTGTCTTGTCTTGTCTTCCGTTTTGCAGGTACCTCTTTCCCAAATTTACCCTGTGCTGGACTGAGTTTCTAGAACTTAAGGTACATGTGCCATGTGAAACCCTCCACTATATTGAAGCCAATTATGGAAAAGACTGGAAGGTTCCTGTCAAAGTGTGGGACTGGAAAAATTCACCCCCCAATGTCCAGCCTAATGGAATCTGGCCGATCAATGAATGGGAAGAAGTAATTCAGCTCTACTGATTTATTTGTAAGATGCTGGCATCAGAAGAATATTTGTTGACAATTGCATCATGTCTCACCTTGGAATCATCAGCATTGGGAAGTTTCATGGATTTGCCACTGTTTCGATGGTACAATGCTTGTGGAAATTGGTGCACTACATCATGGCTGGGTCTGTATTTGAAAGAGCTGCTGCAGCAGAATCTATGAAATGTTAGCCTCAGTAGACACAAAGCTAAGAATTACCTGCGGCTGATCAAACATAGACACTACCTGAATAGCTGGAAGCAATCAGATGGTGCAGCAGGCCTCCAAGCCCCCATACCTGGTGAGGAGAGCAGAAAACAAAGTGCAGACTTCAGTGAGTCTTCTTGTCAAGCAAGGGAGTAAATTTCTTGATCAAAGGCAGCTGTCTGCAGCCTGATTACAAGGCAACTCATTATCTCTCATTGGAATAAACTGTCTGATCTCCAGCTTTTGCGTGATGTTTGTGTAAAATTCTGCTCTTGAAATTCTGACTTCTGGATTGGCTGACAACATTGATCTGGCTCTTGGAACTCTGGACTGGAGTTTGACTATTCTTCTGTCTGCTCATGTTCAAGTAAACCTACACAGGCGAGCTTCTTTCAGAGGCTCTATTTCTGCATTCCTTGTCTGCTGTTATCTCCTCAACTTTAAGTAAATTGCTAATTTCCGTAACAACTGTGTGTTGGGAGTGTATAATTGAAACCAGAAACAGGACACACTGCTTCAGGAGTTTATGCAGCTGAGGATGGAAGAATTAAAAAAAAAAACATTTTGTATATATGTATGCTTGTATGTATGTATGAAAATTAACAGTAGTGGCTATTTGGATATTTTGTTAATGGCAAACATGCTTACAGTAAGGAAGCAACATTCTAAAAACTGGGCAGAGAAGATATCCTGGTAGATCATTATAAAAAAAACTTTGTCAAAAGGGGAAAACCATACAGGCAATCCTGACCTGCTATCCACAATTGGTCACTAAACATGATAGAAAATGGTAAATGACCATGCCAACTTACAACATCAGTTCTGGCTGCAGTCATTAAATGAATTATGTCTGCTTATTAATCACGACATCATGTGACTGCAATTTCCAGTTTCCTTTTGGCATCCCTATTGAAGTTGCTTGTTGCAGTGTTTGTATTGTAATGAATGGAGGGTTAGGGTTAGTTAATTAAGGAGATTGAAATTGAAGAAAAGTATCCAGCAAATGAATTGTTGAATGAAACAGAACTAAACATGTGAAAGTGTTTTTATAGTACATAATATTTATATGTGACGAACTGCTTCCTAAGGGCAGTCCTAGCTACAGGTAGTTCTTGACTTATGACCATTTGTTCAACAACCACTAGAAATTACAATGGTGCTGAACAATGGTGCCTTTGTGGATAGAAAATGTGAGTATATTTTCCAGTGCTCACAGATGCACTATTTATATATAATATAAATAATATATATTATTTATCACATATAGGAAAATTGATTAAGAATTAATACACATCTTTGACTAAAATAGTATTTAAAATATAAAGTATTACAAGGCAACTAACTTATTACAGATAAATCTAACTTATTGACAAATGTGTTTTCCCGTTTTGTACTCGGCACAATCTTCTTATATATTAGTTTAGTGTCATCGGATCAAGTCTGGCCCTGATTATCATATGGGCAAATGTCCTCCATTTTGACCAATCCCTAGTGGCAATCTCAAAATTTCGTATGGACTTTTCAGTTATCGCTGATCATTTCATCCAATTTATCCATTATCTTTACCTTCTTCATTTACCATCCAATTTATCCATTGTCCTTACCTCCCGCAGCCTGCCATGGGTATGCATTTTAGTTGTGTTTAAATCCCAGTGAAATCAGGGGGAAGATAATCTCTAGATCAAATTTGGCAACTTTAAGATTTGTGGACTTCAACTCCCAGACTTCCTCAGCTGGCAATTCTGTGAGTTGAAGTCCACAAGTCTTTAAAGTTGCCAAGTTTGGAGACCCTCTGCTCTAGACCGCATGGTCAGGACATCACTTAAACCTTGATTGAGGCCTCCAGTCAAGTGGACTTCTTCAGGTGCAGAAAGTCAAAATGCATCTGCTTGGATGAGGCTTTTGCAAGGATATTTCAGTTCAGGTGCTCTTCCAAAGCTTTGTACAGCTCTACAAATTTGAACTGTCCTATCTGGATTGTGGTCAAAATTCCAAAGTCCTTGCTCTATTTGCCAGTGTACACTTTTCACTCTGTTCAATCTGTTTACTCATTACAAAGTTAGTTAATGTAACCTGTGACTTTTAAAAAATCAGGGTAGCACCTACCAAATGTTTCTTTGCAATAAATGTCTGAAAACTAAATTATTGTATTTACTGAGAGTTATCAAAGAGGCTGATGTTTATTAGATGAAAATATTTATAATGGATAGTTTGTGCTAAATGTTACACTTGTATTTTGAGGTTCTCTTATTGGAAAAGCTGCTGTTTATCCAGGCAGGCTAATAGCTAACCATGAATAGGCAAAATCTTGAATTAGACTTGATAGCTGGGCATACAATTGCAAAGTGATACAGTTTTGGTGCAAACAGAAAAACAACCAGAAAAACAATTTATCTATGCTTTAACAGAACCCGAGCTACTCTGACTGCTCAGGAAACATACTTTGGTGTTCTGTCTCACTTTTCTTTTTTCCCAAAAGATGAAAGAATACAAACTCACACAAACACAGGCAAGCAAGCTGGCTCGGACTTCACAGAGTTAATTCTTTGAAACTGATAATATCCTTGGCATTCCAACACGCTCTGCCTGCCAAGTCCGAACTGATAACAAATAAAAATCTACTCACAGAAAATTACAAGGCAGTCCACAAAAATCATTCACGAAGAAAATCTGAAGTAAGATTAAACTTTGTCCCGTACAAAGTTCCAGCTAAAAACACACCCACTTTTATCCCCGGTGGGGTGTGGCTCAATGACTCAGCTCACTCTCTGACCCTCCCACACCTCCTATGTTGCTGTTCACGTTTCTCCCTACGACGCTGCTTAGGATCAAGCCAACACTTCCTCTTTACTCCCTGTCAGGGGCTGCTCCAATATGCCTTCCTCCTGATTAATCTCAGGCTGTTCCTCTCGGTTGTCTGATGAAACCTGAGGCATTATCAGGGAGGAAGGCATTGCCAGAGAGGAAGGTCCTGGGGAGGAAGGCATTCCCAGTTCCTCCTCCTCATCTTCCAGGTCTTCTTCCTCTGACAGCATAGGCTCGTGAATCGGGGCCAAAACACTTTGGTGTCTTGGAGGATAACATAAATGGAAATGTCACCTGTGGTGTAGCAAGATTGGCATAATTCATGCACAATGATCATAAGAGAAATTAAAAATAAAATTGCGAATACAGGTAGTCCTCCACTTATGGCCACAATTAAGCCCAAATTTGATTTTGCTAAGAGAGAAATTTGTTAAGTGACTTTTCTTGCCACATTTGTTAAGTGAATCACTGCAGCTGTTAAATTAGTAACACCATTGTTAAGTGAATCTGGCTTTCTCCATTGACTTTGCTTGACAGGAGGTCACAAAAGGGAATCACTGCAACAGTCACAAATATGGACCAGTTGTCAAACATTTGAATGTAAATCACATGACCATTGGGATGGTCATAAATGTGAAAAACGGTTATCAGTCACTTTTTTCAGTGCTGTTGAAACTTTGAACGGTCACTAAATGAACTGTTGTAAGTTGAGGACTACCTGTATAGTAAATACGACGTAATAACATTTGGGAAACCTTTTCAAACCCTGATCAGCATGCCCTGCTGCAGATGTGGAAAAGGTGCCAAAATGGAACTCTCCTTTGAGGAGAACTATAGCAATAGGGATTTTATAATTTAAAGCAAAAGCAGATATGAAGCAACGCCTGTGAAGAATATGAAAATACAAGGAGCAGAATCCAAGGATTGGGGTTAAAGGTTTTTTTTTTCTTCCGTCTCTATACTTTGTCAACCATTGACTCTAAATGCAGGGAGATTCAGCACTGATAAAAGAAGGAACTTCTTTGTATAACACAAATTGTGTCATATTTTGTCAATTTAGATTATTTTAAAAGTGGACTGGAGAAATTTTTCAAGTATCTGGCTATCAGGGACTATGGCTATATGGTGGCTATATGGTGCTTCTGGGATCACATACTTTAAGTATCTATTATATGGTGCTTCTGGGATCACGTATTTTATTTGTTGTGGGAGAACAGAAATGGGAGAACCTGTTGTCTTCATTTGGTTGTGAACTTCCCGTATGCATCTAGTTTGCCACTGTGCTGGACTATTTGGGATGATGATCTCATATATTCTTAGGAGCTAAATATATCTGCAGGCAACCTCTTTGCTTATCTCTGTGTGAACAAGCTGGAAATTGCAGTTCACCACAGCGTCCTGTAGTAATTGAATGGAATAGTATTATAAATGACTTCTGGAAGACGTCATTGACAAATCACTTTTGCACTACTGTCATGAACAAATAATTTATCCATCTTGATCAGTATTTCTGAACCCTGAAATTAACCTAAAGATGTGTGAACTTCAACTTCCAGAATTCCCCAGCTAGCATATCCACGTATCTTCAAGCTGCCAATGTTGAGAAACACTAATCCAGATAATCATCAGGAAGGAGCTGATCTCAGCTTAAGGGAATTGTTAGATTGAAGATTCAAACCATGCGAGTTTGCTGTTGTCTTCTGCATCTTGATTATCTTGACAACGGGACACACATTATGACGGAAACCAGTATCTGCAACCATATCTTAAAACCAGTGGACCTCTCCTCTCCACAGCACAAACACCTTATCCGGGCTTCAGTTTTAATTCAGTTTGTGAGAAGCAGAGCAAGTTTAGAACGTAGCTCTCATTCATTGCAAGGGATCCAAGCAGGAGAAATATTCTGATTCATTCTTTCTCGGGGATTAAATAACTTGCTGAACCTTCTTCATTGGCATTAGAAGCCCACCACTTGAGTAAATCATCCTACCTGAGACCTTAACACCTCCTGAGAAAACGTTGCCTTGCTTGGCAAGAAATTGGCCAGAGTGGAAAAATATGGGTGCAACTGACAAGTGATAAAACTATCATAAACTGTTATTCCTGGAAAGCTGGAGGAGATTCCATACTACAATGACCACAATCATTTTGAAATTCCTTCAACATAACTGGAATCATTGATTAGTACCTGGTTTTCTTTCTCTCTCTCTCTCTCTCTCTCTCTCTCTTTCTCTCTCTCTCTCTCTCTCCCTCTCTCTCCCTCTCCCCCCCCCTCGTAATTAAACTGAAGAGTTCTTTCCCCAGGCATGTTTCTCCTCACCCTCCAGCTCTCTCTTTTTGCTTCCATAATGATGCTTTAAGTGGCACTTGCCCCAGCCCTATTAACTTCTTTCCCGCTCTCCTGCTTGCTTCAGAAACAGCCTTTCTCTCTTCCCTCTAAATTAGCTAATTTATGCGGCGTTTGGCCTTTCAAGCAGCCTGGGAAGTCAAGGTTGCTGAAGTGTCGCTGCCAGGGCCATCCAACTCCGTTTGACTTTTGTAGCCACTCATCTCAAACCAACATTGCACTCCATTTAGCGTGATGCTGTCCGTCAGCAGCTCTTCCGTTCCTGGAGCAGTTTTCTTGGGGAAGAAAAGCTTCCTTATTTCCTCCCTGTTTCTTGAGCAGGATCTTTGGGATGAAAAGCTTCCCTGTTTACATTTCTGATGCTTCTAATCAGCCTCAATTGTGCGCTTTGTTCGTGTGCTGGTAACAGCATCCTCCAGCTGCCGGCTTCAGGGAGTCCTGAGCAAACAAACATTGGAGACCCTCATAAAAGGGAGTCCTAAAAACAAAAGTCCAGTCTGCACTATTGCTTCCAAGGATTGCTGCCAGCAGGTTCAGGTCTGAGTCCACAGCAGAGCAGATCTACAATGCCAGGTTTCCTGGGGAATTCCTTTTCCGCGCAACCCAATTATCATTCTCTTTAGGGAATCTTTGAAAAGCACGAAAAGAACAAAAGCTTGCAGCCAGGCAGCTAATATTGTTGTTCCCGGGAAACATTCATATAACTTTCACAGGACAAGACAGGATCTAATAATGTGGAACTGGTTGGTTTCTGAGATACATTGAGAATCATTGGGTTTAAAGTCGGTGTCAACTACTGTATTAAATAACCAAGCAGACAGATTGTCTCCAGGATGTTCTGCCCCAAGTGTGGCCCAGAGGTGGTATTCAAGCAGGTTCTGTTCTGGAGAACCGGTAGCGGAAATTTTGTGTAGTTCAGACAACTGGCAAATACCACCTCTGACTGATCCTGCCCCCATCTATTCTCTGCCTCCCATTGAGTCCCAGCAGATCGGCTGGCTCTTTCTTTGTTGCCCTGCACAGGAGAACGGAGCTGGAAAGCAGGTTAGTGGGGCGGGGAAGGAATGGGGATTTTGCAGTATCCTTCCCCTGCCACGCCCACCAAGTCACGCCCACCTGATTCACACCACGCCCACTAAATCACGCCTACAGAACGGGTAGTAAAAAAATTTGAATCCCATCACTGGTGTAGTCCTTCATCTTTCTTTGGTGCATCCATCAACATCGTGTACCTTGCTGGTGGTCATCCTCTTCTCTTTCCCTTCCACTCACATAGTGTAATAAAATGCAGGATGCCTACATTCTCCTTGACAAACATATATTTGTTAATTCCCTAACCTACAAAAGCTGTATTCCACCTATACCAAGGCCTTTCTCCTCTAGCACCAACAGGTTTTGGCAACATACCTTGTCTGCAGAGGTGGTATTCAGCAGGTTCTGACCATTTCTGGAGAACCGGTAGCAGAAATTTTGAGTAGTTCAGAGAACTGACAAATCCCACCTCTGACTGGAGATTTTACAGTATCCTTCCCCTTCCATCCCCACCAAGCCACGCCCACAGAACTGGTAGTAAAAAAATTGGATCCTACCACTGCTTTTCTGCCATCTCATCCCAAGCTCAAAAGTAAATTATCTTAGGTTGTTCAGTGAACCAAGGATAAAATAATATCCGCCCCTCTATTAAACAGATATTATCCAATTAATGTAAATGGACCCACAGAAAGGGATCGAAACCAGCTTTGGGGATAGAAATTTATCATGCCAAAATACAGAAGCTTTTCTGTTGATCTAAGGCTAACACAGTCTTGGGAAAGGATTTTAGGAGCAGTTCTTCCAGGTTCAAATTCTTACCCAGCACTCTGGAAAAGGCTCTAAAGTTGGGAAAGGTGAAAGCAAAGAAAAACTGCAGAAAGAGAAAAATTGAACAAGTTACAATAAAAGAATATAATACAACAGAAATGGAATAGAAGACAACTATAAAAAAGAAAAAAAAAGAAAAGAAGAAATTTCAAAATTCTTTCTTAGAGCCAGTTTGATTTAGTGGTTAAGGCACCAGGCTGTAAACCAAAGGTTTACAAAAGCTATTTTAACTAAG